TTCGCAAAATACAGTTTGGAAAGCACTCTATTGTACCAAGTTAGAAACACCCTTTTTTACGTAACACGCGACGATCATTGACGACGTAACGCGCGAAAATGAAGTCAAATGCTCACGACGACTCCCTGAGGTTTTCATTTACCACCATTTATTGCGCTAAACGACGTAATTAGTACTTGATCCCCATGAGACTGCTTTAATTATAGAAGTTTAACGATCGATATCGACGGACGAAAGCGAGACGTTTCAGCGCAGCAACAAATTATATTTTTTATCGTACTAGTAAACTGATAGCTCCACGATTATTTCTACACAGATCCAGCGATTTCGTACGTTATACTCTTTTTTCATTGACTGGACTGAACAGAAATGATATAGTATCGTGTATAAGAAAACTAGATTGATTATGATGGACGTGTATGATATATGGCTGACTATGATGAGCTGCTGCGTTATAGTGCAGAGCTTTTCAAGTGATGTGGCGCGAATAGATTATAAATATATACTACGATATACTGATGTTTTTAAACTTTTCAAAACTGTGAAAAATTTTGTGCTCTTTTTCTCTTATCATAATTGCCTACGTCTACGAAGAAAAAAGATATAAGTATAGAAACTTTTTCCAGATAAAATGTAAAAGTCTAGAGAAATAAATATGTATTTTTTATAGATAAGTCGTATATTAAAAATTTTACATAAAATTATATGTACATACAACTTTTAACATTTCTTTATTTTTCAAAAAGAGAGAAAGAGAGACAAACAGTAATAATCTCTTATCCACAGTTTAAATATTATTTTTTAAATCTATATTTAATTGTTATAAATAAATGATAATTAATCTTATTTCTAAAAATTATTATTATATGCTACTTAGTATGAAAAATTTTACATTTTATTTTCTCAAGACCCCCATATTTAACAAGATATGTTATAGTAACATAGGGACAGCCTGATACCGTAATTCCCCAATGGCTCGTAACGTACCTTGAAACAGTAGCTTCTAAGCTAATGACCATAGTTTGATCTAATCGATAAGAGCTTTGAATTGCTTTCAGACTACTTGTATTTAAATTTTTAAGATCTTTAAAGCTTTTTAATTATTATATATATTTATATTGTAGTATTTTTTACAAATTAATTTATATCTATAGTATTCGATTTTATTATATTTTTTAATTAAAAATTGATTTTTTATTAATTTGAAATTGTATTTATTTTTAACAAAAACAATTAAAGAAAGATAAATAGTTAAACATTAACGAATGGTTAAATATTTCAACCAATTAATTAATTTATAGATATATCGACAATAAATTTTTCTTTTTTATTATGTTTTTTGAAGTGAATTTTATTTTGACAGAAATTTATTAAAAATTTTTTAAATATTAGAAACAGATTCTTAAAATAATAAATATAATATAATAAATATAATATAATAAATATAATATAATAAAAATAATATAATAAATATAATTAAAAATTGCTTAAAAAAAGTTTAAAATGAAATACTAAGAAAAAAATTCTTCATTGCAAACTAACCCAAGAATTTTTCATTTAAAATATATTTTTGTAAATATATTTTTGTAAATAACCGTACTATATTTCTAGACGGATCGAATCGAAAAAAAATATCTGTCCTCGAATAATATGTTATCGATGTTAAAAGACACAACAAAAATAAAATTTAAAAATAGTCAATTATTCCGATTTACTTGATTTGATAAAATGCGCAATGAGAACCGAGCTTAAAAAATAAAATGAAGTTTCACCTGTTCGTGTGCAGGTTTTGCTTTGCATCATATTTAACAAGATTTAAATTGTTTTCCATCATGTACAGTACGTGTTCGTCTGAATCAATTCGATCTCTGTTTGCGGTACAAACACGGAGCATGACAGTTCCGCAATTCCGGCGCAACAGATAATATTGTAGATATAGCGTACGGAAACATGAGTGTATTCGTTTGTAATATCGATCACCCTCCCGTTTTTCAATCGAAATAAAAATTATTTTTGCATGGATAATATTTGAAGTTATGACATTGCGAACCGCATTTTTTTTTGTTTCAAAAGTTATTATTCACGCACATTGGTTCCGCGTTTAATTGCATCAATTAATCCTTATTCGATCCTTATCGATCAAAAAAACGTATTTGAAACGGAAAAATATGACAAAGCGAAATTTATTAAATTATTTTGTATTTTTTTTATATATATATTTCACTGTTAACGGTAGATTTTTCAAAAAATATTTTGGCCACTGTCTTGTCATCGCAATCAATATGGTTTCTATTTGCAAGCGAAATATAGGGATATCGTTGGTGTATGATATTCATCTCTCTGTTTCAGATAATGTTGCAGACATCTTGTAACAGAATACGAACGGAAATGTTTGCGGAACATTTTCCGGATAACGCGACATGCGGCGATATATTAATCGGATATTGCGCTTTGCTCGAAACTAAGGCTGTTCACGCAATTCTCGATCGCAAATTTAATTATTTCCAATGATATTGTATAAACAGTATCTCTAAAACTTCTCTAGTGCAAATTTCAATCATTCAGTTTTATTTTTTTAGTTAAAATTTTCTCTTCCTAACTCTTCTTATACTTTTTTAAAATATTAACTAATAATAAATGAAATTATATTTAAAAAATAGCAAAATTTAGATTTTTTAGAAACTTAGATTTTTTTAAACTCTTGTAATAAAAATTTATGATTTAGTATTGCCATCTTTATATTCGATGCAAAATTTTTTCAATATTTTCACAAGATGCAATACATGGATAACGTAATGAACAGTCGTAGTAACACAATTGCATATTTCACTATATTTTAATGAACAAAAATATCGGAGAATGCTCACATAAAATTAATATCGTGACGGAGCAGTCAATCTTATTTTTTCATATTTCTCTTTCGTCTCTGTTATACATACGAAGAATTTAGAGACCTAAAATATAAATCAAAATCTATTTTTTAGTGTTACTCTTTATAGAATAAACTTGAACTCACTCATATCATTCATTTCACACAGAATTTATCAATCAATAAAAAGTTTCATCGTAACTTTTAATTTAGTTTTCTCTTTTCTGTTTAACGACATATGGAATATCTATAACTTTACATATAATGAAAAAATTATAGACAATAATTACTCTCTACTTCAAATAGAAAATACTTTTGTGCAATTGAAAATTATATCATTTAATATCTAGTTCTCATGATAATTTCTAAAAATATCTGATGCAGTTAAAATTATTTATATTCGAAATATTCATTACACATGTTTCAAAGACAAATCTGTGTATTTAAGAATTGAAGATATTGTTTGATAAATTATTCTATACTTTGATTTTTTAGAAACGCTACGGAAAATAAAGTTTTCAATTTTCTCAAGAAACATTACAAAAACCTTCTTCAATACGAAATATCATGCGCAAGCTGCTGCACCTCGTTACTAGTACGTCACAACTAATTAACGCTACGAACGCAACAAGTTCCTCTTTCCGTTTTCACCCTTACTTCGGTTCTCATAAATTCGCGGCCGTAATCGGTTCCTCGGGGGATGCGAAAGCACAAAATTGCTCTCTAAAATGAGCGGCAAATTGTGACGTCAAAATTGAGTTTAAGCTCCAGGTTAATGTATCATTATAGCTATCGAGACTAGTTCTTCAAAAACAAAAAGCAGCACTTTTTAGTGTGACAAGAGGCATACTTGTCAATGCATCACGTATGCAAATATAGTAAGACTTGAATATTGTTCACAGAATATGCAACTAAATTACTTTATGTATTCTAGAATGTAATTTATTCCCGAATCTAGCTATGTTAATATTGAGCATAAAAAATTATGTTTAAATTTGTTTTTAAAATTTTAAAGAAAAAGAAAGGGAAAATCTTGCGAAGAACTATAATAATTCATTCTAATAATTCCGTAAATTCTAATCGAATTTATTGCATACATATTTCAAAGAGAAAATATGATATTTAATTATGTAATTTTATTAACTATATAAATTTTTTACTTTTTTAATTAAAATAAACAGAGACCGTGTAATATCCAAACTAAAGCCGGTTGCAGCGTAGAGAGATAGTTTTTTCGATCATACGTTCGTACTTTTTTCACCGCTTAAATGAGTATAACATTGTTCACTAACAATGACCGCGGTTTATGTAAGCTACATTCTGCAAAACGCCGTGCATCCGATATTCGCATATCCTCGACGCAGCCGTACTCAACTCTTAATTTATGGCGGCTTAATGCCAAACAAATAAACTCGCTCGCGTCGCAAATTTACTTCCGGTTTACGCGGCAGTCATGTTCACCCCCGGGATAAACATCCCCTTTTATTAGTTTTCCTGCCCACAATCGAGGAACCGAATGCGAGGGGAAATGAAGTTGTTACCTTCTCTCTGAGCTGGTGGAGCACGTATATAGAGAGAGAAAAAGAGAGAGAGAGAGATAAAATGCGCTTTGCTTTTCCCTTTTTGCCGGATCCTTTTTGTTACGCGCACCACACTCGAAGGATTTATTGGTGCTGGGTTACCCTGTTGGCCCTCTCTCTTTCTCCCATGATAACCGCGCCCGGTTATTTCCCTTTTTTTGCGCGACTCACAGTGTCGTTTTAAACCCGATCGACTGATAAGAATTTGAAATATTCCACATGCCGGATCTCGATCACACACTCATGTGCGATACGCGGAAATTGCAATTATACTATGAAGCTCAATATTGCCATTAATAAATCGCAAGCGGAATAGGGTGCATATCATTAACCTAATTCTTTTTTATTCTTCTTTTAAAGATTTTTTTCTCTCATTGCAACAAGCCGGAATATTAAAAGACATCCTAGAAAGATGCGAGATGGTGTCTGAAGACGGCTCGCTTCTTCTTTTCTGCTATTCTCTTTTTGAACGGTGGACTGAGACTGGGCAAGCTTCCAGGAGCCTGTTGGACTGAGTTTTAAAAGTTTTACTCACCAGTAGAGATGCGAGGAATGATGGTATTGAGGCCGCGGGAAATATCGAGGTCTAAAATCAATGAGGCTTCTTACGATCAATTGGTGGTTCTAATCAATAATCTGAAATATAAATTTTCAATATTAATTATTAATTATTTCTTTTTATGATGTTGTTTTAAAATACTTGCATAGTAAATGGTTGATTGAAATAGCAAAATAAATAATATCATATAGCAAAAAAATATTATTGTTTAGAATAATACATGTACTATTAAAATTTTTAAATATTTTATAATATCACATTATATTTATGCTAACTTTATAATATTATATTTATGTTAACTTTAAAGATAAAATAATCGCTTTTCTGAATATGTGTCGAATTGAAGAGAAGATATAAAAATGCATGAAATCCAAAATAATTCGTTTAAAATGTAATTTATATTTTACGATAATCTATAAAAGTTACACTAAATTTACAAAGAAATTCGACAATGGAAATTTTTAATTCATCGATGAAATAAAAAAAATATTATGTATTAATGCTCGATCAAATATCTATGACTTTTTGCAATTAACTGTACTCTTATATAAATATATTCTTACATAAATATTAATTAAAAAAGTTAAGCAGCCGTTTGAAATTATGTAGAAATAATGTTCTGAAATTATTCAGAATTACAAAATTTTGTCAAAGAACTTCAAAATTAATCAAATTCAATTTCTCAGCGCTAATTCAATAGTTATTCATAAAACTTGGATAAATATTCTATCGACAACAGAACAAATTAACAATTAATTAAATGTCAATTTGCTACAATTTAAATAAAATTATCAATTAAAAATTACAATTTAAAAAAGTAATTTTTATTAATTATAATTATAATTTAATCTTATTATGATATAATAATTTTATATAATTATAATATTATATTTTTAATACATATATAAAATATCACACGTGCAATATATAACATACATGTGCAAAAATTTATCCCATATTATGAATTATGTGTGTTATATCGATATAAATTTAAATGATATTTATAGTTATATGAGTAATGTTTTTTCTCGATTATTTAACAAATCTTTTGGTAAAATAACATATATATATATATATATATATATATATTTTATTATAAATAATTATTTTTGAATGTCTTTCTATTTTGAACATAAATCACTAATAATATTGTGTACATCTATACAAGTCTGGAAACTCACAGAAAAACTGAAATAATAAAACTTTTCATGTATTTTCCTTTCGGTTTGCCGGAAGCAGCACAACAAAGACCTTAGCTGAGTAATTTGCGACAGTATACAAACTTTATCTTCATGACAAGCCTTTGTAACTCACTACCAATTAATGTGCCATCGCTAGTGAGAATCTCTAGAGTTATATGCAAACTAAAATATGTCTAAACTAAAATTGCGTCGTACCATTAGATCTTATCATCATTAAAATACTGCCGCGAGATATTGTGTAATAGCTTAGTTTGATCAGACATGTAATTCCCTTCTTTAGATTACTCTCTTAGGAAAACATTAATCGAGATTGCCTGATTAAATCATAAGACTGAAAGGCAATAACAATAAGTATAAGTTAACCATGTAACAATATTAATAAAAAATAATTTTTTTCATTAATAATAAAAATCGATAATTTCTTATATAATACATACACACATATGTACTAAAAATAATAATAAACACAGATAAGATTAGAATCTTTGAAATAACAATCTTGTTTACAAAATTAAATGCATACTTGCCAAAGAATTTATCATTAAAATTGGAATCAGTTGTAGATATCAAATATCAACCAATTGTAGATATCAAATATCAATATAAATGTGATTCAAAGAAAATAAGTATTGATAAAGTATTGATAAATAGGACTCTTAAAATCCGATTCATGTGATTAATAAAATTTCCGATACGACCTGGAAATCTATTACTAATTCAATTAAAAATTTCACTTTCCATACTATTGGTAATTAATCGAGTTCTGTTCTATCGAAAATCAATATCTGTCATCCATGTCAAGATCCAAGATCTAATATTGCGTATATTCAATACTATTCCATTAAAAATGAATGGCTCTTGCAATTTTATTGAAGATCAATAATTTCTCTAATTTTCAACTCTATAGTTTTAAGAATATTCAATATAAGTATCACTTGTATACACATATAATTATGAGCATTTTCAGTTTGTTTAATAAATATTTACGTATATTAAATATAATGTATATTATAAATATAATGTATTATATATTATAAATATAATGTAAATATAATGTAAATTTAATGTAAATATAATGTAATTATAAATATAATGTATATAAATTGAATATAATGTTAGAAAAAACTTTAAAACAATATTAAACAAAAAATAGATAATATAATAAAGACAATAAGAAACAATAATTAAATTTATTATAAAAGAAAAGAGAAATATCGTCGATACATAATTTTAAAATAATAAACTATCTAAAAATAAATCGATATGTAAAATATTTGTTTATATAAAATATATTTATATATTCTCTCTTTCCAAGAAGATATAATTAACTAATATTATTTTTAATTATTTTATTTTTTTATAAATAAGAAGTTGATCTTTCTAATCTCATATTGATAAAAATTAAAAAATTCTAATATATATATAAAAGCCTCAAATTTATTACAAATTATTTCTATGCAATTATGTCAAGCTTAAAATAAAATAATAGTGCAATTCTATATAGTGTATATAATAATTTAAATTATAATTAAAAATTTATTTTAGAAACATAAGAAAACATTGAAGAAGTTTAAATATATAAGAATTATGCTTTGGTTTAGCACAATATATAATCGATCACCAAACAATGCTTTTACTTGTCATATTTCATATATGTAATGAACTTATAAAAAGTATGAATAATTTACAAAAATATTTAATTTATTTCAATAAATTATTTCTTTTATTATTTCTTATAAAATATTAAAAATATAAATTGTTTAAAACATAAGATAATGAAGAATAAATAATTATAAAGATATTGATGAAATTATATAAATGTTGTTCATAAAATCTTGTAAAATCTTGCAAAAATTTATAAAATCGTATAATTCACAAAACTGAGTAATAATATATTTATAAAATCTATGGAAGAAAAAACCGAGAAAAGAAGATGGAAGTCATAAATAAGAGTCGATAAAACTCATTTCCTTACTTCACGCGCAATAGCATAGCATAACTATTCCACTCAGAGGTGACGACATGAACAGGAAGTATAGTAATTTGAATTCCTTCACGTTCTTTCTTTCTATGTGAAATACCTTCGAAGCACGCGCGAAAGTAACGCGAATTCGCACGGTTTTGATTCTTGCGATTGACAGGTCAATTTTAAAAAATTCCTTGTTTCTAATAAGAAATCTTATTTCTAAAGATCGATTCACATATATTACATATGTTACGGACAGTGTCCGTCAATCTTAGCAAACAATCGAAACCGTGTCACGGGAATAGGATTGTTATTACCTTGAAGTGACAGCCTGCAGATATATCTGGAATAACGATCGATCGTTTCGCAATCTAGAGCAAAAATTGTAAAAGAACGGATATTTATATAATTAACTCAGGTAGCAAACACATATAATATTTTGACCCCAAATGGCGTGTATTTTCTACTTAAGAAATAACTTTACGATAAAAGATACAATAAGAAAATTTCTTACGTAAGATTGCACTATAACGATTTCGAGGTGTCGAAGTTTTAATTGAAAATAAAAATAAAATATTCCACGTAATAAAAGTATTCCACGCGTTAGATTTAAAAATTTAAAAATTATACAACTGACATAAGATATTTGTTATGTCAATTAAAAATGATGCTGATAATAAAAGATTGCAAATAAATTCAAAAGTATTTCATTCAAATGTATTAAGAAGACACTTACCCTTTTGCACTTATCAAGACGATTATCAATCCCTTCTCATTTTGATATATAACCGGTACAGTATGATGCTTTAGTAAAGTGGAAGTAATGACTGTGTAATAAAATTACTATTGACCTAACTCGTGAACTTGTGAAAATCTAATTTATATCAGAGAGAAACCGGAGAGTGCCAGTTTCTGTTACAACGTTGAATCCTTCGAATAGCAGCGCCATCGCATTTGCTTTTGCCGGGGGTTGAAATTATTTTTCAAATAATCGACGATTTTACCGACAGTACATCGATAAGTTGGTAAAGTTGATAATCCAATTCTCAAGAGTAGATGTGATGGCGCTGCTGTTCGAGAAAATTGTCATATCTGTCAGCTGATCGTATCAATAAACAGCAAAAATGTCGACACGGTTATTCTGATTCCAACTTAACAAAACAATTCTTTATGGGAAATAAATCTGCCATATGTAAGATATTTAAAATCTTGTGCACCAATTAAAAAAAATGGAAAAAAATATCAGCAAGATACTTGATATATCTTGGAGATTCGGAGGTAAGATTCTGATTCTTGTTAAAGGTTGAAGTGTTAATATTTATCGTATTTTTAGAGGGACACTCGTATCCCTCACATTAAATTATATTAATATCCTTTAAAGAATATTCTATTTTTCATTGTCTAATATATACAATATGTATTAGCACAATACGCATTTTAAAATACATTGAGATTTAGATGTTGATTGTTATTAGTTAACATCTAAATTTCTTTCTCAAAAAGGGAAAAATTTTCTGTCAAAATTAGACATGTTAGCTAATTTTAGCAATAAATAATATAGTTTGTGATGTATAAATCACAAATGTTTGTTTATATTTTTATTAATACTGATTTTAATAATAATAATATAATGCTAGTGATAGTTTAATCATTAAAGAATAATAATGTCATTGTTTTTATTCTTGTAGTAACTGCAGCAAGTAATGATTCTGACAATGTTGCAAAGTCATTTCTACAACTTAAGTTACGTATTGATAATGATGGTAAAATCAAGAATATATTTACTGAAATGACAATAGGGCAATTTTATAAATTTCTACATGATTTAGAAAAAGCAAAATGTAATCTTGATTTGTTACTGTAAACAAATATATATGTATGTTGGAATATTTTATGTAACTATTTTTTAAGTATTTTGTTAAAGAATATTTACAAATTTACAAATAAAATTGTTTTTATATAATTCTTTTTTGATATGTTCTTTTTGTGATGTTTATATTATTTAAAATAAAAACATTTACTATTATAAAAGCAAAAATTTAATTCATTTCTGATAAAAGATAATACTTTATGTAACATTTCTTAACTAACAGTCATAGGCATCAAATATATTGATCTATATCATATATCACATTGATGGATAATTAACTTATTATTATGAAATTTACAGTATATGGCTTGGTTTAATTACTCAGAACCTAATAATTATCATGTAAAAATTTTACATATTTAGATTTCTCAATCGTCCATTTATCAGAATATTTTTTATTAACTTTGATTAATATAATAACTTGGACTTTTCATTTTCTGTCAATATTGTCAATTCATTTTATATCTTACTTAAAAATAGAATAATATTGATAATATTGGTAAAATATTGATAAAATTGTATTTTAAATTATTACAATTTAATTATAAATATTGATAAAATTGCATTTTAAATATTTATAATTAAATTTATTGCATTCTAATAAAAATCTTATAATTTATTTTAAAGAAAAAATATTCTGATAGATTCTATTATTTCATGTAACATATAAATACATTTTCAACAATTATAATCAAATGAATGAAAGAATCTTAAGAAAAGTTTGGCTAGAAGATTGGATAATTTTTTTACAATAGTTTTCTGATCAACATGTTGAAATTTATATGAAATTTAAAAAAAATTTTTTCTTTGAAATGTAATAAAATAGAATTAGAAAGAGAGAATCATAGATTATATTAATATTAACAAGATGTAAAAATAATAATTACCTAAATATTAATAAACATTTTAATACAAAAAGATATGACTATTATATTTACTTCTATAAGTACATTATAACTATACTACTGAAAAAGTTAATTAAAATAAAAGCGCATACCTTAAGAGATTATTAATCCTCTCTTTAGAAAAATATATACAGATTATTTACATTTATGCTGTGTTCTTCAATTAAATTATTCCATACATAATCTCTATATTACTTAGTATCATTATCTAAGCATCTAATAATAAAAAAATAATATATATATATACAATTTATTAATATTAATTACCATTAAAACTAATGGTAATATCTGCCCAAATCTTTTCAAACTGTAGATTTTGTTGTGAAGAATGTATCTGAAAGCAATATAAAATAAATTTTACAATTACATACACAAGCATCTATATGCAAAGTATAGATGTATATATATATATATATATATATATATATAATATAGTATATAATATAGTATATAATATATATATAATATAGTGCGAAGGTTTTTTTATAAAACACAAAATAAGTATGCATCAATAGCAAGTACAAAAGTGAGAAACTTTATTTATTTTTTAATAATATACATTCTCATGATTAACTATTTATATTTCCACTTGTATTTTTTATTAATTTTTCTTTAATTAAAGCATGCAATCATCACAATTAGTTTTAAGAAATAATTTAACAATTAAAATAATATATTTTACAGCAATAAATGTTTTCATATAAGAAAAAAAAAACTTCACATGCATTTCACTAATTATCAATAAAAATATGTATCAGATGATTATATATATATGTATATATAGTAAAAAATTTTGCAGAAACTTTTTATATATAATGACTGTAAAATGTGTAAAAATGTTAAAATATAATTTATAAAATATTTATTATTAATATGTATGGAATGATTTTATGAGCGCAGCTTAATTATAAATTATATTTTGCAAGAATCAATAATGTGACTTTATAAAAAAAGAGCATAAATATGCTGTGTTCTGTGCAAAAAAAAAATGCAATTTATACATAAAGTTCGCCACTTTAATACTGTGCTAAATACTACTAAAAATACTACTAAAGATAATTTTAAATCAGAAAATAAGAATGTATCAGCCATATATCAAGCGCATTCCAATTAATAAATATATCAATAAATATATATATATATATATTTAACAGAATATGACATAGCATGAATATATTCAATTATTGACTAAAATTCTCGCATTTGAACAAACATATGAGAATAGACAGTCATTTGGAAAAATTTGGTTGTGTGGAAAGGTATGACAGGATTCACAGTTCTAAAAGCCTTTCGTTTAGGAAGAAGCGGACTAAATACAGCACCTCTTTGATTATTAGGCTCTGCTAATGCTAGCGCAGAATTTGTTTGTTCAGATGATGAACTCTCTTGTAATGTGGAGAGTTGTTGTAAGGACTTGCCTCTTTCTGCTTTTTGTTGGATACACTCTAACACTGGTTGAATAGCACCAAGCAATGGTCGTTTGGATGGTTCTCCAGACCAACATTGTTCCATTAACGTCCAACATTCTTCGTCAAAATGTGACAATCTCTCAGGCCTAAGACCTAATATGTATGAACAATGGATTTAACATTCTGTATAATATTTATAGCAAAATATCAGTTGAGACAAACAAATAAATTAAAATCAAATTCCATTAATATGTAGCATTCAAATCAATCAAAATTAACGAGATAAATAATTTATATCAATAATTCAATAATTAATTCTGAATTTTTTAATAGAGAAATTTCAATGTCGGTTTTTACTTATATTGAATATAATACAAAATAGACATTTTTAATTAAAGAATTTAAATCTTTTGAATACATAGTTTATAATGTAGGCAGCAATGTTTTAGAATTTTTATAAAACTTTTAATAGAATGAATAGAAATGCCTTCGTATGTAATAAAATAGTACCTTTCCGTACACTTGTCCATAATTGCTCCTTGTTATGAAATTGCTCAAATGCATATGGCAATCGAACCTTCCCAGCACATATATACCAAAACAAGATGCCGAAAGCATAGACATCAACACTACTATCGTAATGACCAGACAAAAGTTCCGGTGCCATATGAATTGGTGTTCCCACGATACTCCCAGACATCATAGCTTCAGTAATACAAAACCCGAGATCAGTTAATTTAGCTCTGTTCTCCATGTCAAGTAAGACATTTTTTAATTTAATATCTCGATGAACCAGGCCTTGTGAGTGAAGATAGCGTATTCCTTCTAATACATCTATTGCTATTTGTATACGTTCCAACCATGAAAGACCAGCATGTATACCGCAGTACAAATCACGACTCAAACGATCGGTGATCAAGAGAACTGCAGCGCCCAGTCCGAATCCTCCACCATACGACTGATCTATGACCGATCCGCGAAGCTTCACTATCCTTTTGTGATCCGGTATCGATCTGGTATAGTAAACCTCCATCGCAAGATCGTTCCAGTGTCTGTCGTCCGGTGGAACAACGGATTTTACCGCACATGGTCCTGGTGCTCCACCCCAACCTTCGCATGCAAACACTACACCGTATTGTCCTCTGCCAATCTCCTTGCTATATTGAGGAATCCCAAAACAAATCGCATCCATCATTGATGTGGATTCTAACGCGAGTTTGGCTAGTTTGGGCGCGTGATATTTTCGTATAGCTATCCTCTGTTCCTCGGTCCTCTCCAGCTTCCCCGAGTAATAATTCTCCAGAGACTTTAGGGCAGTCTGAAAAGCGTCATGAGAGGATTTTAACTTGTCTCTGAACTGCGTGGAAACTGTCCTCGCTAATCTAGCCGCTGATAAGGAATTTAAAATATCGATAGTAATCTTCTTCCTCCAAGCTGCATTCAAAGTCGGAGTAGGTGTCCATGGTAACGGTAAGGATTTAAAGAGCTGTCTTAATCTTTCTAAGAATGAATGTACTAAGGATGGTGATGAATTGTGTAATTCTACATTGTATGCTGCAGAAAGTATTTGTTTTAAGGCATCACTGGCTAACAAATTACTGTCGTGTTCGTAAGTCTTTTCGAGACTTATTAAACAACGTTGAAGCGTTCCGATAAAGGTCTCTCGAAGACAATTGACCGAGTTTACGAATTCCTTTGCAACTTTCTCGCCCAAACGGCCCAGCACGAATCGTTGAACTTCCGACGTTGCAACGCGAACAGTAACTGTCCATTCTGTATGTTCATTATTATCAAAAAGAACAGTCTGATACTGAAGAAAATCACTGGTAGATCCTGATATATCGTCTTTCATTTCCTGAATAATACATTGCATTAGCTCTGTTAATTCCATTTGCTGCTCATTAACAACCTTCATTAGATTGGCATAAAGTTCATTTTCCTTTTGTTGGGCGTATTGTATTCTTCTAGGAGTGATCTGTATTTTTCGTGCCATGTCAAATGCACTTAAAATAAATTTACGTAAACTAGTCGTGTGTATTTCATTCAAATAAGTACTAGCATTAATTAGATAGCTTTGCAAGCAGCCACATGTAAAATGTAAAACGCGATCTGTCTTTTTGCATGAATCCACTAAATCACTCGAGTTATTAACGTATTGCTCGCCAACAAGCCACGTTAACTGATGAACTTCCACAGACTCTTCCATGCCTAGAAATCCTAGACTACTTAATTGATCTAGCCATCTTAGACCGAGTGAATTCATTTTGTCAATATTAATACTATCATTACTTTTGGATTCTGTAGAAACGTTTGGCACTTCTGTCCGACTTTGTAAACTATGTTGCTCAGACTCGGTCAATTCCGCGTCTGTGCCATCCAATGAAATATTTGCGACTGAAGATATGAATAGAATTGGATTATATGGATAAGTCTCCTTCAAATCTTTCAATTCTTCCAAATTTTCCTCAGTCAATGGTTGCTCGCCAAGAGCATAAAGAAATATAGGTAAAATCTTGAGTGAACCTTTAGCGAGAATTTTTACCACACCATTATTTGGAACAACAAATATTTGAACACCTTCTTTCAATATTGCTTGATTTAATTTTACTTCCAACACTGTTGGACAATTGATGTCTTCGCTTATTGACTTTGCTAGATCTTCGATGGGAAGTGTAGTCCACGATTCTTCATTGGCTTTTAGTGTTTCAACTACTTCATATTCCAAACCTAACGTGAGACTGACATGATTTGTATGACCGTAAGTGATCTTGACCCATCTCCATGAATCATTAGACAATGGCAAAATATCAAGGGAAAGTAATTTATTAAGCAACGATGCTTTGGATTTATTATCTTGTCCAAAAATGACTATTGCTGGAGAATTATCAAGAATATGTGTCACTCTATTCAAAACTGCAGGAGGCAATAATTCCTCAATAATGTTCTCTGCAAGAAGTATATGTATAAATAAGGTTAATTGCATGTTTGTAATTTATTGATTTGAATTTTTTAAATATATGCACAATTACCTCCAGGGAAAAAGTTTTCAAGTTTTATGAATTCCAATGTACGTTGTGTCTCCTCAAATATCTGACGTAACTGATTCCTGTTCCGCTGGTATTTTCTGAATTCTTGTGGTAAATTGCTTACCATTTTTCTCACATTACTTTAGTCATTTATGTATTCCACAAAATGTCCTGTTAACATTAATACACAATATATTGACGAGTAATAAAAATATCGTTTAATACATTTCCACATAAGACTCTCAGAAAATACCGTTATTGCAATAAGCATCCACGATAAACGTATTTTCGTACTTTCAAATTAAACAGAATTATATAGCAGTGCATGTAAATTTACTAGCCTTGTCAACAATACAATGACACATATGTACGAAGATATAAACGATATATATTAAAGTTTGAATCATGTCTAAGAATAGTTTTCACGCAATCATGTATTAGAAGGATGGATTTAAAAAAATCAATCCAGTGTCTCGCGTTTTAGCGGACGAATAACAAAACAAGAGATTCCTCTCGAGGATAAATTATCGTCGCCGAATCCGTTCCATGTTTCGTTATCCCGTAATCGGAAAATCGAGATCGTGACATTGTTTACACGCGTGATCGGCATCGCATGAAAGCGAGTTAATCGAGACCAGGCGGCCGATCACTGAACTCGGGAGGGTTTTGCTCACCAGAATACGATTTTTTGCAGCCATACGAATGCGAGGACAATCGTCGCTCGCACCGCAGGTCATCCGAGTGCAAGTAACCCGCAAGATAGCTCAGGCGAGATTGTCTCGTATCGCGTACCGTTGAAGCGACGTGCATCGACGACGCATACTGCTGATTCGATTGCCGCTGACTGAACTCGAATTAAGTTGAGCTGCTTCTAAGAGACGCGAATCAGTCTTTCGCGAAAAGAAAACACGACGAACCAGACACGCACGATAAACGGCACGCATTATGTTTTTATTTACGCACACGTGCCAGCGATACCCCCATCAGCATCGCTCTTTTTCTCTCCATTAGAATTATATTACACGTATATACGATAGAAGTTATTTGTTGAATTATAAAATGAGAAATTCTTATGAGAGAAAAGGGGACACGTGGTACCGTGCAATCAGCTGTTGACGCTCAGCTGTCATACTGGAATCTGGAATTCAAATTATTAGTCTTTTTTTTATTTCAATTATGTTTGTTTCGTTAACGTTTATGAAAGATACATTGTATTACATAAATTTGTGTTTCTAAGCTTTTTTGTATATGAATACAAATTTATGAAAAATTTCAAATTTATAGGATAATCCATAAAAGCAATGCGTTTGTTTATAACATAAATTGGTTGTTTATATAATAATGCGAATAACACCCAAAATGTCAGGATAATAAGTAATTAAATAGCATATAATAATAATAGCATAATTTAAATAATTTTACTCGCTATTTTTAGAAAATATTTTATGTAAAATAACTGTCACTCATTATTTTATACATCAATATATTATTTTATATGACTTGTGTGCAATATAAAATTCCTTATTCAAATTAAACCTTATTCATCACGTATCAATCCTATTTTATTTGAAAAATAATAATTTCAATATGAAATAGCCTTGATTTTTATTTTATTTTAATTACATACAATTATGTACGAGTCTAATGAGTTTTTATTTTACTTTAATTACATACAATTATGTATGAGTCTATAATTATTTCCGTGGAAATTTTCAATCATTTATCAGTATTTTCAGATATGTACATCAATAGAAGGGGACTTAGGGCTTTATTACATTTGCCACCCTACGAGTTAATCGAACGTGCCGATTGGTTATTGGATAGGGAATTTCTAGGATTCCGAAAATTTCTTGCAACAGTAGCCAATCAAACGACAAGGAACACAGCTTATCATAAAACGTATGGAATATTACTTTTATGGAAACGGTTCTTAAATCTATCTCTCTAACCTCTTCAACTCTTCTATTTTTTAAAGACTGTCGACAAGCGATTGCGCTTTTTTGACATATTTTGTCGGATTTTTCCGGATTGCTACAGTTTCTGATTATATAATTCTAAAAATGACATCGGTTTTGGAATCTATGGTAGTCGATGAAAAACAACTTCCTGAGAAACCAGTGGATAGAGAAAAAGTATGCATACGCGATGAAAACAATAACAAATTATCTGGAGATATTTATTATTACACTTTATATATAAATATATTTTGTTAGTTATAACTATGCATAAACATGATAATATCTATTTATATTTCAGACATGTCCTCTTTTATTACGAGTATTCTGCAATAATGGACGTCATCATAATATAATGGAATATAGCAGAGGAAATGTCCCTTCAAATGAGCTGCAAATATATACATGGTACATTGATTTATATAATATTGGAGATATTATATAAAGTTCAATTATGTTGTGATTGTTGTTAATTTCACGTTAATTTTTAAATTTTGAAAAATTGTCCTTAATTTGTAATTATTTCTGTTTGAAGGATGGACGCTACTTTGCGAGAAATTACAGGCTTGGTTAAAGAAGTAAATCCAGATGCTCGTAGTAAAGGAACATATTTTGATTTTTCATTAGTCACTCCTGAACTTCGTAATTCTGGTTATCGTATGCGTGAAATTGGTGTTACGTGTTCTGGACAGAAGGGTGCAGATGATAACAAAACTCTTGCACAAGCAAGGTAAGTAACCTTAAGTAATATATAAGAAATATTTTTTGTTATATAAATATATATATATATATATATATATATATTTATGTATATATATGTATACTTCTTTTGCAATTGCAGATTCACTATAGGAGATTATTTAGATATATCAATAACACCACCAAATAGAATGATGCAACCAGCAATAAGACGTGGTGGTTTACGTCAGTACTAATTAATATAATAATCTCAGAATGTTAAAATTTATGATAAAGATAAGGTTATTATAAGTGATTATAAAATTACATGACGTACTGTAATTCTGGACAAACTTTCTATTTTTTTCATAAATAACAAAAATAAATAATCATCTTTCTTCATTTCTCTAAATTTTAGTATTAATATTTTCCATTTATAAATATTTTTATTATACGTGTATAAAAATTATGTTATATGAAAAATTATTTGCAATATAGAACTCAAATATTTAGTAATATATATTGGACGCACTCCATTTGACATTATCTTCTTTTCGAAATGTTTGATTATGACAAAGTGAAAATAGTGAAATTATAATCGTACAATTATTAAAATTATGATTTCGATATCTATTTTTTACATATATTTGAAATCGACAAATTATCAGCATATTTCAAATTATTTAAGTTATTTGCCGCAGAATGTAGAAAAAATATAATAAGTTCAGGTTTGTACATTCATATGTATGTTAATGCTTTGTAATTGTCATTCTGATTTATCTTCATTATATTTTTAATATATTTATATATTAAGACACATTTCGATCTTTATTTCTGCATTAATTATTGAATATTATTGCTCTATTAATTTTATTTAGCTAGTGCATTTATTTCCCTGTAGTTGCATTTTTTCGCGTTAAAAATTAAATGTATATTAAGTGCGGCAAATATATGTTATTAAAACGAACAAAGTTAATTGCTATGCAAAGTGTAATTTATATGGCGCTATAAATATATTCTGAATAATTTATTCGATCGCATGCACGATTAAGGAACAGATTTTTTTGTCTTGATCAATCGAGAACGATTTGGAGCATTTATAATGCTAAGAATAATTGTAGATTATTGCGAAATTGTAGCTTTGATCATTTTGATATTTCAAAAGTCATCTTGCGATATTGCGAACAGAGAGTTGCGAGTCTTTCAAATAACGCGGGTACTCGATTGAAACGCGCCGGATGATCTTGTTAATTCGTATTCGAATTGCTTTGTGTATTTTTTGATTATTATATAAAAGTGAATATTATTAATAATTTATATTATATTAATTTATATTAATTTATATTATATTTATTTATATTAATATTATAACAAATTTTCGCGAGTTGAACACATTTGTAATTAAAAATATTGAATATATCACGTGCAATCATATATTGTTATGAGATTTTGGTGTCGACGATTTCGGTTTTATGCGTTGGAGCTCAATGAAAATTATCTCGATATGTCCAACGTCATTTTCCTGCCAAAGTGCAACAAAAGTTGAGCTGAGCCATGATTATATATATCACCAGGTATTTATGTACATTCATGTGTATATACATTGTATATACAGAGAGAAGACTGAGAGGTGTCATGGCCCGCTTTTAGGTGATCCCTGAAAGCGATACGCCCTCTGTTAATCTAAAAAACGTGGACATGAACTACAAAGCCAAAGTCCACGAAAGTTCTCAGAGGGTAACATATATGTGCACAATTTCTGATTCTGTTCCGTGCTATGTAAAAAATGCCTGTAGTACACGAAATGCCATCAGTGCTGTATAGCAAAACGCATGTATATAAATATGTATATATATGTATATATGTATATAAATATAAATAAATTTTTAATTTTAATTTTTTAAATAAATTTTGTGGTCCTCTCTCTCTCTCTCCCTCTCTCTCTCTCTCTCTCTCTCTCTCTCTCTCTCTCTCTCTCTCTCTCTCTCTACACATACACAAATAAACACACACACACACATATAATATATATATATGTATATATAGTATGACGCTACAACTTTATTCTGAAATATTTGCGTTATGTTTAGAAATATATATATATATATATATATATATATATATATATATATATATTCGAAAAATATAGATGTTGCAAAATATTTTAAATATCTCTTCCTTTATATAAAATATAAAGAATTTATATGTTCTATTCTAATATAGTCAACATTATTTATATACTTTTATTATAATTTTCTTACCAGCATAATATTTTTATGCTTAATATTTTATATAATATAATGTACTAAATTATAAAATTTAATATACAAAATATTACAAAATAGTATTATTATTAATAAATAGATTGCACACTGTCTTTTAGTTTCTAATTATTTTCAATCATTATGCATTTCTATCCAATAGAAATCTCCTCTTCTTCGAGTTCTTGGATTATTATGGTTTATTGTATTCTTTTGTGTTAAAATTATAAAAATTATCATCATTTGTGTCATGCTTATTCCTTCCTATGGAGTCCATCGAAATACTTTCTATTTGTTCTCAGGTATAGATATTCAAATCACTGTAGTTGCCTTTTTCTCGATTATTCCCTTTTTCTTTTATTTTATTTAAAAATATTAATATAATTAATATAACAAATATTTATATAATTTTGGTATTTCTCTTAGTCTGACATTTCCCCTTCGACATGTCCGGCATAGATGACGCTATCAATAACTACGATCGGTATTCATTACTCACTTTTATATTTAAGATCATACTTAAAATTATTTTAAATATAAGAAAAGTCTATACGAATATCGGTGTATGTTACCGCCGGCATAGCTCTCAGGCTCATTAAAATACTCAAACCTCCTCAGCCGGCAAATGCCTTCCTTAAGATGGAAATATCATCGAGAAGGCAAAATTTTTCATTTTCTTTCACTACAGAATTTAATACAAAAAGTTAATGTAAAATATAATATTACATAATTTGAAATGTAATACAAAATAAATTAACAATCCTTTTTTTTTTACGTGGGGAAAAAAACTCTCTTAGAGTTTATTAATTAGAATTAGATTATTAGATTTATAATTAGATTAATTAGAAAATACTCAAAAAATATTGATCCCTTAAAAATTCTTAATATTAATAATATAATTATTGAAATATTTATTAATTTGTTTTCCCTAATATTATTTAAACCTACATTTCCTGATTCTTTAAAAGATACATAATATAAAATCAGCTAAATTAATCACATAATAGCCCTAACAATCCTTTACTTTTTGAAAGGAAAATTAAAAAATCTTAATGATCACCTAATAGCTTTAACAATCCTATTTCTCGATTAAATGAAATTATTCGAGGAAAGCCTATCTCTAATCACGTATACTTTAATTACGTGCTCTAATTACATTCTCTAACCGCATGCCCTAACCGCGTGAATAAATGTCCGACATTACATACTATTGTACGTAAAGCTTTTCTTCAGGCCAGTTGAACTTACTTTTCATTGATCCTGGCCACTTTCTCGCTCGATCTCTAATCAGAGATCGAAAAAGGAGATAAACACTCCTTCTTTTGCCGATTAATTACCGGCAAATAAGCGTAAATATTTCACGCTCATCGTAACGATCGCTCGATTTTACGATCGTTTGTTAAATATTTGAATATAATTTTATTTTAACTCAAATAAAGCCAAATTACAACAAATTTCTATATATTATATCTTCTAATAAAATATAAAATTCATGTGTCTGTATAACTTTTATGATATTACAAATTATTTAATTAATTAATCGTTTGGCTTTATTTTAAGTTAAAGTAAAATTTAAAAACAATATCTACAAACAAATTCTACAATGGATGAGCTATGATATAAGAAATTAGAATAAAATAAGTGCGCGATATAAGAATAAAGTAGTATCAAAAATTGATAAAATTGTTAAAATTATTAATGCGTGCTCTTGATTTAATAAACTAGTCAAGGCTTTACAAAAAAAATTTTCTTTTCTTGATTCTCTTTTTTAAATTAATACTTCAATATATTTTTGCAATAGATGCAAAGCATTTCGAAAGAATTTATTAAAAGTTATTTAATTTAATCTATCCTAGCTCATCCATTTTAAGGCAACGGACTTACTCTACAATTCACAATCTACAATCTACAATCTACAATCTCTACGAATCCGTTACCTTAAAGTTAAATAAAAGTTTTTCTCACTCACCGGCACTGATGCGCAACAGCGGAGTTGTTGTTATCGAAGCTAGTTGTCTGTAACATACAAATATAAAATTCATTTATATTAATGCTCACAAAATGCAATCAAAATTTCAAAAAATTTTTATCGCGCGGAATTTTATATCCGATGTGTAAAATAATAAGCAGAGATAAACACGTGTGGGAAAATTTTATAAAATTTTAAAACTGTTTTTCAAGAAAGTTTTTTAAAAAGTTTTATATAACTTTTATAAAAATCTTTGTCTCTAATTTTCTTTTTAATTCATTTAAATAATAAGATCGAATTATTATGCGTACAATTTATAACAATTGATATACAAATAATAAATATTCACCATCAGGTTGCTCCGCCGATGCAAGATGCCTCTCCCAGGCCTCCTCCTCCTCTCATGTTGTTGACGCGCGATACTTTCAACGGCACTCCCGCACTCACGAGCGATATTTTTATATCGCTATTTTCGTTACGCGCGATACTAAACGGCACTCCCGCACTAATTCGGTACGATTAAAAATTTTGTCGCGCGATGTATATATTTAATATATATATACTTTGTCCCACACTCCCGGTTTCGGTACGAGCGAAAATCCCATTTCATTTCGCGAGAATCAATTTCGAGCCAACAGGTCGGGAATGCAACGATACAACGAGCAAAGATTAGGCCCGAACCGGAAAGAAGACGAAACGATTGACGGAATAGAGGAAAATAAAGTTCACCAGCTCTTTTTCGCGCATAATTATCCTATCTCGTATCGAACCTGGACCCGCTAAGCACGATTTCAAGTGACCCGCACGGATGCTATATCACTAGCGCAGTACACAAGGCTGATAGACGGTAAAAGAAGAGGATACCCACATTTTTTAAAAGCTAACATTCAGCAATTTAGAAAATGGGGAGGCAACCCCTTTTACCGAGCGAAAATCGCGCCTAGGGGAATCCACTCGACTCCTCGACAGGGTTAACACACGCTAGGCGTGTGGCTGTAGAGTAGACGAACAAAGAGAAGGGACCCATTGACGACCATTTCGAACAATCGATCGAGTTCTAACCGATTCGGGCCAAATCAATTGACGAAGCAGAGCGTGTTCATCACTAAGCCGATCGAGCGCGAAGCTCGAACCCGCGCGCCCATGTACAT